TCGCACACAAAACACCCCCAAGACAGTTCAATTGCCGCCTCTTCGGAACACTCGTTCTCCATCGATTCCAGGGTCATCATGAATGCACACCGAGGACCCTCCGAATCACTATAAGAAATCAACCATCTCTGAGAAAATCCTTCCTCTCAGTGATGGGGTAGAACATACCTTCCTACAATGGAGCGCTTCGATTTGGGACCGACTCGTAGTCAATGAGGACCACTACCTTACCGACGTCTCGAGAAGAGCGTTGATATGGGGAACTACGACCAGCCTGGTGAAGACCTACCTAGAGCCCCAATACCTGGCCACTACGCATGGGTTCCGCAGTGCTGAGGAGATGATGGATCTACTAGGTTCATACTACCTCACAGGCAATGAGACGGAACAGGCCAGGAACCTCTTCAACGACCTGCAAATGGGAGAGAAAGGACATGCTATGGAAACCTTCCCAGAGTTCAAGGCTCGTTTCCAAAGTGCAGTATCACAGGACAAGTCTCCGAGTCGGAATGGTTTCGATACATGTGGAACAAGTTGACTCCCCAATTCCACAGCCGCGTCGCGATCATCAAAAACCAATGCAATGGAGACTACCAGACCATGGTACGAGAACTTACCGCCTTCGATCAGGAACGGCGCCGGAACAACGAATTGAATCTGCTACCTGCCCTCGCAAGGACGTCAACACGTACCACGGATACCGCAAAGACATCAGCGTCGAAGCCGACTCGAACCACACCCGCTCTGTTCACCCGAACCACGTTCCTCCCCAAGCCAGCCATACCGGAACGTGTGAGAACCGCAGTCCCTGCGCCCTCAGGGAACTGTTTCAAGTGTGGCAAGCCCGGCCATTTCCAGGACAAATGCCCCCTTAACGCTACTATCAAGGAAATGGACCGTAATGACCCCGACTTAGAAGAACAATGGGAAGAAGCCGTGGAACTTCAATCGGATGTGTCCCTCGAGGAAAACGATGAGGCCTAGGGCCTATGTGTGAATCGCCACACTGACCTATGTACGAAACTGATCCGAGAAGCGCACGATCAAGTGTCGTCAGCACATCCCAGTGGCAGGAAAACCTACCAATTGCTTGCTCCAAAGTATCATTGGGTCGGGATGGAAGCGGGCTGTTTACGGTATGTACGAAACTGCGTGATATGCTGGCTTTCTCACACCAATGTCACTAAGCAACAATGATTCCTACACCCACTACCCGTACCGGAATATCCTATGCAACACCTCACCATGGACTTCAAGGAGTTCCCAAGGGACAAGCATGGATACGATAGCATCTTAGTGTTTATGGACCGACTCGGTAAGAGTTTGGTGACCATACCTTGCTACAAAACCACAACTGCCTGGCAAATGGCACAATTGTTCATCGAATGGATATACCGATTCGGACACACTCCGGAGTCGATTGTAAGCAACCGCGGACCCCAATTCATATCATCCTTTTGGCAGAAGTTCTGTCGAATTATCGGCGTTAAGGTTAAGCTGTCGACTGCCTATCATAAGCAGACTGGAAGACAGACGGAAATCATGAACCGATACATCGATCAGAGACTGAGGCCTTTCGTATCCCATTATCAGGATAACTGGAGCGAACTCATCCCCATAATGGACCTGTGCAAATGACACTCCCCCACGCATCCATTGGCATGACCCCCTACCAACTCAAGTACGGAACCGATCCACGTACGAGTTGGGATTGGAACACTCCGAAAAGCACCAACCCCCAGGAGACTCTAAACTGAGAGGAAGCCAAGGCGATTGCAGACCGAATGCATACCGCATGGGTCCACGCAAAGGGAAACATGGCAAAGGCACAAGAGGAAATGTCTAAGCACGTGAATCGACGCCGAAGGGTCATCGACTGGGACGTAGGAAATATAGTGTACCTATCGACCAAAAATTTGAAAAACTCTTGTCCTAGCCGCAAGTTGGGCCACCAATGGGTCGGACCATAGATGGTGTTGGAACGGATTGGGCACGCGTTTCGATTGGAACTACCTACCGGTTCTCAAATACACGATGTGTTCTCACCAGACGTCCTCATGAAGGATCTGAACAACCCCCTACCTGGTCAGGATCCGCCTGAGCCTAGCAGCAAAGTGATAGATGGTGTAGAGGAATGGGAAGTGGAAAAGATCCTTGCAGTGTGGCTCCACCGGAAGCAACTACAATACCGGGTTAGTTGGGTCGGATACGATCCGGACCCGGAGTGGTACCCAGCGTCGAACTTCATGAACTCTCCCCACAAACTCTGAGAGTTTCACACAGAATACCCAGATTTACCAGGTCCACCTCGAGAACTACTCGGATGGGTTACGGCGGGGGAGGCGGGCGAGGAACAAAACTACGATCACGGGAAGGAAGACAAAGCGGAAGAAACAGAGCCGTTGCTATCTACGACTTTAAACTAAAATACCCTCTGAGCCAGGGCGCACTCACCACCGTAACTCTTGCGGGAGTCACCCTTCCCAAACGTCTCACCGGCGTCGCAACAAGCGGCTACCACTGAGAGAGACGAAGGGTCGAAGCGACCCCACGCGAAGAGTCAGGTCCGAGTCCCCTCTGACACAGGGCCTCCTCCCTCCTACACCCCATCCTCCTCCACCACATACTGGGCCCCAAACCCATCCCCCTCACCCTCACCACCCTTACCACCCCCCTTCTTCCTCCCCCCAGTACGGTCCGGAACCGTCGTGGCGACAGCGATGGCAGGAAGCCTGCCCACGGCAGCCACCACATCCCTCAAAAGAGCCGGCATGCTCCCGTGCTCCGTCCGAAGATGGCGCAGTGACGACCGGATTTGCTAAACCGAATCAGCACCGAAACCACACAGGATAGGGGGATACTTACGGCCAGACTCACCTCGAGGGCGGCGCGCATTGCGCAGAGCGCCTCGTAGGAGCCGCGCTCAGTGGCGGAGCGAAATTTTGGAACGCTTTGGGTGGCCACAAGGGCCACCTAGTTTGCCTCTGCGGCAGCGGCTTCGACGGAGGCAGGATCCCAGGGATCTGCTGCTTCGGCGGCAGCAAGGACACGGTATTCTTCGTTGAGGAAGCTGGGAAGCTATGCAAATTGTTAGCAAAAGCCAACAGAGACAGAACAGCACAAGGGAACTCACCGGAACGCAAGGGGAGTGCTGCGCTGTGCAGTACTCGCACTTGGAGGAGGCGGGGGACCAGACACAATCGTGGTCCTTGATACCACGAGCTTTGGCCCGAAGGTAGCGCAGGCAGAGGACACGGAACGTGCCTGACAAAGCTCCCGCGGGAGTCGGAATCGGCATTGAAAAAACAAAAAAAAGGTTGGAATTGTGCGCAGAATCCCGTCAGTCCAGCACACGTTATCACCCCCGCGCCAACGCGCTCCCATCACCTACTCGTTCTTGTGGATGGAAATATCCTATCCAATTCATTAGTGCACCGTCGGACAATCCACGAGAAGGGGTCACTTACAGTTCTCAGTGGGGTGGTCGCTGGCGTTGTTGTTGGAGACAAAAGAAGAAGCAGACGCCGCTGCGCACTCATAGTCTGGCTTACAACAATGAACTCTGAATCGGGTTAGTGCGAACACTTCTCCTTTCATACATAGGACAGTCTAACCCGAACGCTTCGCGGATGCGATTCGGAGTCCACTCGGACTGCCAGGAATGCACCCCCGAGAGAACAAAGCAAAGTCTAACCTGAACGCTGTCACGGTTCACCAAGGCATAGGGCGCCAGTTGGATATTATGAATTAAACTCAATCTAGAGAAGAAAGGAAAGAGAAGAGGAGCACTCGAGCAGTGGCTCGATCTATATACAGCTATGTTGTTGTGGAGTGAATTCTCTTTAGCGAGACCAGTTCTGAGAATTCACTCCACAACTGAAAACTTCGCTCCAACCCCGGAAAGCTCCCCACACCCCTGAACCCCCACTCGAGCTGCAAGGCGCACTTGATATCGTAACAAACGCTTCGCAGATGCGATTCGGAGTGCACTCGGACCACCACGAATGTACCCCAGAGCGAACAAAGTAAACTCTGGTTCCGCACAATAAACGGAGTCGATACGGCACAGCTCTAGCATGACATATAGGAGGGGCAGAACAGTAATGAATTCATGCCCTACAGATGTGTAGCTTATATAGATCACTTAAACATACTACTTGTACGTGTAGTATGAGGGTTACTTCTAATTAATATGGCTTATTATCAATAACGTGGTTTATCACCTCGCGACGCATATCACCATATCACCTTGCAATGCATATCACCTCGCAAGACACTTTTTACTACCCCATCACTTCAGAATACCATTAATCAACCACAACACATTAAATCAATTAAAACTACTTAGAATCTAATGAACTAGATATTTCTAAACCCTCCTAATAAGTCTACGCAACACGTTATAGTATTGTAAATAATACTATATTAAGTTGAGTACGAAGCTCCTATCTAAGGAAATACTATCTACTTATATAGTGGCATTGTGCCTTATAAATAGTTAGGATAGTTGGGATAGTTGGGCCTTTTCCAACTATCTAACTATCTACTAGTTTGACAACTATCCACCAGGTAGGTCATGCTACAGCCTAGCTGCTAGCCTTGTGACTTATGAGTCACATTACTAGAGCCTAGCCCCACTAGCCCTATAACCATGATGTCACGTTACTGTAGCCATAACACTAGGATCTCTGTCCCCTTTGCTAACATAGCAACTATAGCAAATATTAGTGTTAGTAAGCTTCCTTAGTAAATACAATCTTTAACCAAAGTTGTCTACAAAAGAGCTTTGGTTGGGTTGTGAGGCATTTGTGAAACCTAAGGGTTAGTGTCTATAGAGGGGGGTCTAGTAGGTGTTAGAGTCTATAACTTAACATCTATCTTTTATATAACTTCCTTAGGGTTAAAAGGGACTAAACTAGCTCTGTGGAATCTAGTTTAGGCATTTTAGAGAGTTATCGACTGTTGATAAGCTATCTTAAAGACCATGTACTGTGCCAATGATGCCCGAATACGGACTCGGCTTCTGGCTGTGCAAACTTCGTTATCAGACGCAGGAGGAGCTATTGGAAGTTGCAAGCGCCGTAAGCTGCCTACTGATCTCATAGTCATTGATTTCTTCCACTGGGCATTACAGTGCGACTGGAAGTTTGACCCAACCTCCTGGCCAGATCCAGGCGAGTAATTTTTGATACCGCAACGGCCTTGACAAGGTCAATTCTCACATGCAATGATAGCAGGACTGAAGTCTTTGAACATCGAGCTCATGGTATCAATATGGCCTACTGTTGACAAGAGGGCTGATAACTAACCTGAAATGCTGAAGAATGGTTACCTCATCCGCGTTGACCGCGGCATGCGGACAGTTATGGAATTTCAAGGCAATACCGTCTACTTCGATTCCACCAACCCCGGAGCGAGAAAGTATGTATGGGAGAAGGCAAAGGCGAATTACTTTGACAAGGGAATTAAAGTCTTCTGGCTTGACGAAGCGGAGCCAGAATACACCGCGTATGATTTCGATAACTACCGCTACCATGCGGGCTCGAACTTGGCAATCGGAAACATCTACCCTGTGGAATATGCTCGCACATTCTATGAGGGGCATGCGACATGTCGTGTTTATCGGTTTCCAATGACAAGGCAAGGCAAAGGCTCTTCGGGAGATCAACGCCGTCAGTAGCGGACGCTACGATGTCGACCACAACGTCGCTACCGCGCCACAACATGTGCCGTGGCTCTGCAACGACAAAGTTAAATGTCACGACACGTCTCTGCAGATGGGTGGGCAAGTCGACATTCACCGTTCATAGTTGGAACCGCTAACAATTTACAGAAGGAAGACAAAATGGGTGTCATTTCAGAAGAGAAAGCAGGGTTATACAGTGAGGGTGGGAGCAAGGACTTCCAGCCCAAGCGTAACGAAGCAGGTTGACGATATTTTCCTGTCCAGCGGCAGTATGTCGCAAAGACTCTCGAAGGGGTCATGGATAGCGCGCGCTTTCGCAAGGTGTATATATAGCGTGGCCCAATATTTAATCACTACATTCCATGCACCTGGCCCCTCCCTAACAATACCGTGCCCGAATGCAACGAGTGGGACGAAGATGGCAGTGACCGGCAAGGCTTCCGGTGACACGCATTCTAGCAGAGGGTAGAGATTTTAGCAGGGTGGTGGATCTCCGTTCATGAGCTAGAGATGGTGTTTTCCGCGCAAATACTAGACATTTTATCTGATTTTGCGCGGAAATCAGAAAAGTTAGGTTGGAATGTAGAGGTGACTTATGGCGACTATGCTAGTAGGGAGGACTAATAGCAACAGAGATAGGAACGGAGACAGTAGGGATAGGGACAGACGATAGTAACGGCAGGGACAGAGACGGACGACACGGTGACAGCAGGGATGAGCGACAACAACGGAGACGGGCGGGGACGAGCTACAGTAAATCTGCGTAATTTTGTAAGACGGGGAATATGGCAATCACATCATAGCACAGACACTCAAATAATATAAAAACTCTATTACGTTAAAGCAAAAAGGTATCTAAAACACAACACATCATAAACTCTGCTTCCCCCTCGTCTCAATGGGCAACCCCAACATTGCGACCAACGCGGCAAACATGAGACAACCACTTGCGTAAATCGGCGCCTTCGGGTTGTCAGTCGCAGCGTAGATGGCGACGATGGGCGCGCAGATTCCGGCGATGCGGTTCAGGAAACTGGCGATACCCGACCCTGTCCCGCGACTCGGCGCTGGGAACACCTCGGGCGTGTACGCATACAGCACACCGTACATGATGTTCTGGAAGAAGGACTCGATGCAGGTGAAGATGAGCTGGAAGTCGGGGTTGGTGCTGATGGTGAAGAGGAACAAGCAGACGCCTGTGAGGAGGGTCGCGATGGCCATCGTGCCCTTGCGGCCGACGTACTTGATGTTGACGGTGTAGCAGGCGATGATGGAACCGGGGACACCGCAGATCGAGATGATGGCGTAGTTGCGGTAGACAATGTCTGTAGGGTTGGGAGGGGCGTTGGGGTCGACGCTCGTGAGATACTGGGTCAGGAAGGAATTAAACAGGGGATATCCCATTCCTATCGCCGTCCAGCAGAACCACAGGATACCAGTGTTGATAGCGAGGCGCTTGTAGGCGAAGAGCGGCGCGATGCGCTTGGTGGAGAACTTCTCAGCCTGGCGCTTGACAATCTCCATGGTGGAGAGCTTCTGGTCTGGGATCTCGTCGATGCTGCCTCCTATAGCGTCGAGAACCTCCTCGCTGATCCACGTCTTGGACTTGTTCTTGTAGGCAATGCCTCTGACGACGGCGACGGCCTCGCGTTGGCGGCCACGGCTGAGCAGGAACTTTGGCGACTCAAACAGGTGGAAGAAGAAGAAGCGGCAGATGAACATGGCAAAGGTGAAGGCTCCCATGGAGAAGTTGAGATATCTCCAGCCCATGTTCATGCTCTTGGTACAGCACGCCTCGCCGGGGCCGACGCTGTTACAGGCAGGCAACAATTGGTCGCAAGAGTAGTTCGGGATGAAGCCCCAGGCGAAAAGCGATCCGATCAGCTGGCCAATGGGCCAGAAGACGCTGAGCATGGTGAGGAGGTTGCCCCTAGCAAATGGCAGGAACTCGAGGAATAGGGCGCCGTCGACGGGGAGGTTGCCGCCAACGCCAAGTCCGAGCGCAGCATAGAGACCGCAGACGGTGATCCAGTTCTGGGCGCCTCCAACCGCAAGGCCGAAGACACCGGCCATGAAGAGGGTGATGTTGAAGGCTGGTCGTCTTCCGATCGCGTCGCAGGCCACACCCCAGAAGGCGGCACCAATACACAATCCGGCGAAGAGCGCCAGCGTGGTGAAGCGGACCTGAGTGTCAGAGATGCCAAACTCGGCCGAGAGCGAGGTCAGCGTCAGGGCGACACCCTGCAGCCAGAGGTTATCAGCCAACCAGCCGAAACCGCATAGCACGAAGAGCTTCCACTGGTAGCGGCCCATGCCGATATCCTGGATGGCGCGGTTGATGACCTTTGACTTGCGGTCGTAGGCCGAGTCGGTGCCGCTGGCCGCAATCTCGGCGTCGATCTCGGCTCTCAGCTGCTCAATGGTGCTGCTGCCGCCATGGCTGCCAATGTGGCTCTCCTGGTCGCTCTCGCGGTCCGCAGGCGCGTCGCCATCAGTCTTCTTTTCCTTTTCCTTGTCGGAAGTGCGGGGACTGAGGGCTAGCGGGACATAGACTTCCAGGTAGTCCTCAATGTCATGCTTCCCAAACGGGTTCAGGAAGAACGGCATGGTGATCTGCGTGGTGAGTCGTCGGCTACGATCTGTTTATCAAAAAATGCCTTGAGCTGTCAAACTACGCTGGATTCAGATTTTTGGTGACAAATGTCAAATCAATGGCAGGTCGTTCCGAGCAATGGGATCGCCGTTTTTATATGCTATGCACAGCACAGGTTCAATATCACCGACACGAGCGACTTACCCAATGCCACTGATATGCGTATGCAACGAAGCCGAGAGTGTCGTGTGTCGTGTGTCGTGTGTCATGTGCCTAGTATGGCGAGGCGCAGGAGGTATAAGTGATAAATGAGACTCTGCTTGGTGAGTGAAAGAGCTTCGACGTCGATTATGGAAGGAAGAGGAAGAGGGAGAGAAGAGAAGGAAGTTAGGAGAAAGAAGTCCCGGAAGAAATAAAAGAGATTCACTGTTTCGCTTCGGGGTTATTTTGGTTCGCCTGCAATTGGCGCCAAGCATTCGGTGAGGGATCAGTGTGGGGGTTGTCGCGGGCAGCCAATGCGAGGCACGTAAGGATACCCACGACTCATAAACAGCACGACTCATAAACAGGGCAAATGATTGTCAGTGGATTCGACGCCGTCGCAACACGCCGGAAGGGTCCTACAGGGAAGACCAGGGAAGACTAGCAGGGAACTTGCCCCAGATGGGGAGGGCGACAACCAAGGTCAACGAATTGCCAAGGCGTGATCAGCGAACGAAGGGGGGTGGAAAAGTCTGCGGCTAGCGTTGTCACGAGATTTTAGGCCGTTGGGGATCGCTGGGATCATTGGATGCTGGGAGGGATGGTGACTGTAAGACACATGGATGGTTGAGATGATGTTAGAGTACAGTAATACTTCGGTATGCACGGCAAATGCGCGCTCTTTCTCTGTAGACTGTAGACCGTTAGCCGTGGCCTTAACTCACCGGAAACGCTTTTTTTTAAGGCTGTTTTGGGGGAGGGGCGGCGGGGCGGCGGGCGGCGATGACGTCGATGGTGTTGGGATGCGGCATGACGTACCACAACTATGGCAGTTGGAAGTAATTTAGTGGTAGGTATATCACGCCACGCGAGCGTCAACTCCACCACCCAACTGAACTTTCGTTCCTTCCAAGCAAATCAGGCAAGCCACACCCATCCACCCCACGCTCTTGCCGGGATTGGATATTGTCATTTTACTTTGTAAACTCACATTCGGGCTGTTTACGGGGGCTGTTTATGGGGGCTGTTCACAGCTGATCTGACTGATTCGACTGATCTCACTCGGCCGGCTCTTCTTGGCCTGCAGCAGCTGACCGGAAGGTGCGAAGGAATCTAATGAGTCTGCTCCTGTCCTGTCCTGTCCTGTCCTGTCCTGTCCTGTCCTGTCCTGTCCTGTCCTCGGACGACCCGGCCTTCATCATCATCTAGGGCCCGCGTTCAGCGTTCCGCGTTCAAGACGTGAAATTTCCCCCCCGAATCATCCACTCTGGACCCTTGGCATCCGTCTTTTCTCTAGTCGCTGATCGGAATTCGGCATGGAAATTACTTTCAAGTTCCTTACTTCCTTCTTTTCTCACCGCATCAACTCTTCACCCCGTCGTATTTCGCATCGACTTCCTGATCCATCACTCCTCCGCAACCGCCATCTTCTGAATGTCGACTCCCCCACGTACGTCTACGGAGTAAAGTGCAACGCTGTGACCTCGGCGGAAAGGTTGTGGCTTGCACTAAAAAGGCTCTAACATCCTCCCAGCCCTAGACATCCTAGACGCTACTGCTGAGTCCTATAGGCTAGACGTGCCTGTACCATGCGCCTAGTGGCGGCTTGGCTCTTACTTGACGGCACCACTACCTCCGTATTAGCTCTAGCACAAGGCAGGGGATGGGCCGGGGTATCATCCATGAGGCATTTTAGTGCGTTAAGTATGCAAGTTATGTAACGTGAGATTACAGGGTTTTAGCAACCTAACCGTCGGGCTTTTGACTACCTTACCGGGATTTCACGTAAATTGAATAAGGCTAGCACGACGGTAACGGGGACCGTCACCAAAATTGGCTGATATTCCCACGGTTTTTGGTGCCTGCTCCGGTGGCACCACCCGTTTCTCATGCCAACGGTGATTCCTCCCAAACGGTCGACGCCAAGCACCAGTAAATAGAAAAGAAGCCGTTGTAGAATAGTAAAATTGACTCACCGTTTTCGATCCTTCTTCGGTGGCCCGGATTGGGCTGTAATTGCCCGTAAAACCGGGATATATTGGCCACGGTGATTAATAATATCCACCAAAGTCGCCTTTGCCTCGGTGATAGCACCATTTTCGAGGCCGTAAACGGTGATGGCGCCGTCTTCAAGGTATTACCGATGCCAGAAGTCGGCGGTATACTCGGAATGAACCATCGCTGGCATGGCTAGCGGTTGAAAAAGTGAGAATCGCACCCAAAATGTAAGGACACAGGGCACCCAGCTCACAGTAATAGCATATGAGAGTGCGAGTCGGAGGCTAAACGGATGCTATCCTATAGGCCTACTATGAAGGATACAAAAAAGATGATGGGGGGAACCCCGTGAGTCGATTGTCTCAAGTACCCGAAACCCATCCGACTCGGTTCCCACTCGGTTAGCCCACCCAAATGATCACACATGACCCCGCAGCTACCCAGAGTCTACTCCCTAGAATGAGAGACGAGAAGGCATCCTTACACTACCCCCCTCCTAAGAGAGTGCTTTGTCCGCAAAGCATGCCATCAGGGTCCTTTCCGTAACCTCCCTGAATGGTATCCGTAAGCTGGGCGTTCCTTGTTGGTGAAAATTTTGGCGGTACGTGCATCGGGAACTCCCCCGTTTGTACAATGTGTCGGGAAAGTGCTTTGTGTGCGGAGGTGGCTGTTCTTGAAGGGTACCGTAACACCACCTCGTGGAATGCGACACTGGAGTTGGCTTTGTTCAATCTCACTTTCCATCTTGGTGGTCCGAATGGGCACCGGGAAGTATCCGCTAAGCGTTTGAGTCGAACCTTCGTAAATGTGAAAGGGGAAGTGATCGCGCTAGCCCGATTCAGAATTTATTGTTGTAAGCCCAACATTTGAGTACTCCGCTTCGCCCACCTCTTCCTGTTTTTCCTTTACAACAACAACGCCAACAGTATCCACATCGAGACTGGTAAGTGGCCCCCTCCATTCCTATAGCTGTATACTAACTGATTGTTTTTAGAATACAACAATCCACCCGAACGAGTAGGTGACAGGAACGCACTCGGCGTGCAAGTGATAATGTGGGCTTGGCTGACGGGAGCATAGATCCCGAACAATTGACGATGCCGATCCCCACGCCTGCCGGAGCCCTCTCAGTCACTTTCCAGGTCCTGTGTCTGCGCTGCCTTCGGGCCAAAGCTCGGAGCGTCCTGGCGCACGATTGCGTCTGGTCTCCCTCGAGCTCAAAGTGCGAGTACTGCACTACGCAGCAATCCACCTGTGTCCCAGTGAGTTTCCTTGTGGCGTTCTGTTGGTTGGTTGGATTTTGGTAACCGTTTGGGTGAATAGCTACCCTGGTTCCTCGATGAGAAATACCGCGTCCTCATTGCCGCGGAAACAACCATCCCTCTCGTCGCCGCAGACTTCGCGGCCGCTGCCTCGGAGGCAAATCGGGTGGCCCTCATGGCTGCCCAAAGTGTTCCCAAGTTCTGTTCCGTCCCGGAGCGAGACTCCTACGAGGAGCTCCACGCCACGCGCGCCGCCATTGAGGCCGGTATGGGCGTGAGTATACCCGTGTCCTCTGTTGTTTCAGTGCTGACACGGTTCAGCAAATCCGGTCGTCGCTGCGCTGTCTTCGGACGGAGCAGGGGAGCGTGCCGGCTCTTTTGGGGGAAGTGGTGGCTGCCCTGGGCAGACTTCCTGCCGTCGCTGTCGCCGCGATGGTCCCAGACCGCACTGGGGGGAGGAGGAAGAGGGGTAGGAGGAGGGCACCATTGGTGCGGGTTATGGGGAGGGGGAGAATGGGGAGTAGGGTGGACGGAGGCCCTGTGTCGGAGGGGACTCCGGCCTGACTCTTCGCGTGGGGTCGCTTCGACCCTTCGTCTCTCTCAGTGGTAGCCGCTTGTTGCGACACTGGTGAGACGTTTGGGAAGGGTGGCTCCTGCAAGGGTTATGGTGGTGAGTGCGCCCTGGCTCAGAGGGTAGTTACTTTAGGGCCGTAGGTAGCAACTACTCTGTTTTTCCTGCTTTGTTGTCCCTCGCGTGATTGTAGTTTTGTTCCTCACCTGCCTCCCATACCGTAACCCATCCGAGTAGTTCTTGAGGTGGGCCTGGTAAATCAGGGTATTCCTTGTGAAACTCTCTGAGTTTATGGGGGGACTTCTTGAAGTTTGACGCTGGGTACCACTCCGGGTCCGGATCGTATCCGACCCAACTAACCCGGTATTGTAGTTGCTTCCAGCAGAGACTTACGGTGAGGATCTTTTCCACTTCCCATTCCTCTACGCCATCTATCACTTTGCTGCTAGGCTCAGGCGGATCCTGACCAGGTAGGGGGTTGTTCAGATCCTTCATGAGGACGTCTGGTGAGAACACATCGTGTATTTGAGAACCGGTAGGTAGTTCCAATCGAAACGCGTGCCCAATCCGTTCCAACACCATCTATGGTCCGACCCATTGTTGGCCCAACTTGCGGCTAGGGTGACAGTTTTTCAAATTTTTGGTCAATAGGTACACTCTATCTCCTATATCCCAGTCGATGGCCCTTCGGCGTCGATTCATGTGCTTAGACATTTCCTCTTGTGCCTTTGCCATGTTTTCCATTGCGTGGACCCATGCGGTATGCATTCGGTCTGCAACCGCCTTGGCTTTCTCTCCATTTAGAGTCTCCCAGGGGTTGGTGCTTTTTGGAGTGTTCCAATCCCAACTCCTACGTGGATAGGTTCCGTACTTGAGTTGGTAGGGGGTCATGCCAATGGATGCGTGGGGGAGTGTCATTTGCACAGGTCCATTATGGGGATGAGTTCGCTCCAGTTATCCTGATAATGGGATACGAAAGGCCTCAGTCTCTGATCGATGTATCGGTTCATGATTTCCGTCTGTCTTCCAGTCTGCTTATGATAGGCAGTCGACAGCTTAACCTTAACGCCGATAATTCGACAGAACTCCTGCCAAAAGGATGATATGAATTGGGGTCCGCGGTCACTTACAATCGACTCCGGAGTGTGTCCGAATCGGTATATCCATTCGATGAACAATTGTGCCCTTTGCCGGGCAGTTGTGGTTTTGTAGCAAGGTATGGTCACCAAACTCTTACCGAGTCGGTCCATAAACACTAAGATGCTATCGTATCCATGCTTGTCCCTTGGGAACTCCTTGAAGTCCATGGTGAGGTGTTGCATAGGATATTCCGGTATGGGTAGTGGGTGTAGGAATCCTTGTTGCTT